GATCATGACCTGAGCCGAAGTCAGCCTCTTAACCAACTGAGCCACCCAGGCGCCCCTGATATGATGTAATTTTAATAGCATTCCATTCAAAGTATTTTCTCATCTTAACCCTTATTTCTTCTTGACCTATGGGTTGTTTAGAAGTTTGCTGCTTCATTTCACAATAGAAGTGTTTCCAAATTATATTTTTATCAATTCATAGCTTAGTTCATTGGAGGTCAAAAGAAACATGTCTGTCCTTTGAAACTTATTAACAGTTTATGATCCAGATTTGGGTCACTTTTGGTAAATATATTTTTGCACTTAAAAGGAATATATTTTATTTTATGCTCTTGTTAGGTATAATGTTCTGTATGTCAGGTTGTTAATTGTAAAGTTCAAATATTTTTCTGTTTTATCTGGTCTGTTCCATGTTTTGGTGTGCTTGTTCTATCAGTTACTGAGAAAGCTGTGTTAAAATCAACTTGCGAGAATTGTGGACTTCACTTAGTTTCCTTGATGTTGGCTGAAGTTTATTTAGAAAAAGTATGTTTTCACAGCTGCAGAATTCAGTATTTTAACAAACTTATATATGGGAAAAGTCACAAATGAAATTTCAGATGCAGTTTGTAGAACATTAGAATCACATGTAGACATTTTTTTGAAGCACGTGCTATCAGCGGAGGGAATGTTGCTGCTGGCACTAAGAGGTTACAGTATTAGAATTCTTTGAGCTATTATCTGCCATATGTGTTTGTCTTTAATAAGTTTTTAATTGCTGTTCATATTTGGCCCTTAATTTTGCTTAGATCTGTGGAAAGCACAAAAAATACTGAGGAAGTGTTAAATTGTGGCAAAGGTAACAAAACCAGTGAGAAAGCTGTCACATATGAAGTAATGCAATATTTTACACCCTAACCATGATAATTTACTATTGTTAATGGACATTTTCTGTATTTCAGTGAGTTTTAAAAGAGAAATGTTTGGGGATTATGAATTTATAAGTAACATAATTTTGTCTATTTAAGATAATGGGAAATAAGCTCCTGGTTAGGGTTTTGCATAGAATATCTGATTTTCAGGAACAGATTCCTGACTTTAAGTGTTATTAGGTACATTCGAGTTTAGACTTGTTAGAGCTTTCTGGTGAATTGAATGTTTATTGTAATGAAGTATCCTGTTGTATCTCTATCCATGTGTTTATTTCATGCATTAAAATCTACTGTAATAAAGTATAGCCACAAAACTTTCTTTTGAATTGTGTTCTACACAGTGTATTATTGTTCTCCATGCTTTGACTTTCAGTCTTTATGTATCCTCATTTATTTAAGATGTAATCATCTATAATCATCATATAATTAGTTTTTGTGTTTTATATTTACTGTTTGGATTATTAATACATTTCCCCCCTCTGTTGGCTTGTTAGCATGTGTGTACTTTTATAGTATTCTTGCAGTGCTTACCTCAGAGATTACCACATGCATCTTTGACTTACTGAAGTCCAAAGTACGTTTTCTGTTTCCCAGTAAATGAAAGGATTTTAAAACACTCTTATTTCATTTACTATACTTCCCAATTATGTGCTATTGCTGTTGTGTATTGTAATATTTTAAATTCTACAAAGTATTATTATTTTATTTAGTCATTATTCATTTAGAGTTATATATTTACCCTGTTGGTTTTATTTATTTATTTATTTAGTCACTTAATTTTTGGTGCGATATCCAAGCTGTACCTGGGATCTTTTTTCCTTCTATTTGAAGAAGTCCCTTTAGTGTATTCTGATGTTAAATTCATTTTTTCTGTTTGACTGAAAATGTCTATATTGTGCCCCCCCGCCTTTTTTTTTCTGAAGAGTATTTTTTGCTAGATATAGAATTATAGTTTGGCATTTCTCCCATTCCTGGCACTTTGAGGTATCATTCCATTGTCTTGGGCTTCCATTACTTATGTGAAAAAGTCAACTGTAAATCTTACTATTGCTTTTAGTTAATCTTTATTATTGTTATTATTTTTTTGGCTGCTTTTAAGATCTCTCTGTCTGTGGCTGATCGCTGCCTCTTTGTGTCTCTCTCTTTCCCTCTAACCCACCCGCTTTACTCTGATATACCTAAGTTCTGGTTTTCTTTACATTTGTTTTGTTTGGGTGTTTGTAGATCTTGGATCTGTGGCTTGATGCCGATGATAAGCTTTTAACTATATGTCTTTAAATATTTTTCTCTTTTCCTTTTTTTTTCTCTTTTTCTTCTAGGACTCTAATTACATATATTTTGGATCCATGTTTCACTGTTTTTTCACACTTCTGTATTCCCCTTTTTCATGCCCTTTTGGGCTTTAGTTTAGCTATTTTCTTCTTTCCTATCTTCTGAGTCAGCTGGATGCTACCTGTTGTTAAGCTCATCATCAATTATTTTTTATTATCTGTCTTCAGTATTGTACTTTGCAATTCTGTTTTCCATACTTTTAGCATTGTCTGGTAATATTCTTTGTTTTTTAATTCTTTGAAAACATTAACTTACTTTAAAGTTCTCTTCTGATAACACAATTATCTGAACCTACTATGGTTCTAAATGTATTGCCATTTTAAAATCTTAGTTTTCAGCCAGGTCTTGACTGGTTATTTTTAATTTTTTAGACATTTTGTATAAAAATGATAAGATCATTTGAATTTCTAAATGATACTATATTTTTTCTGGTAAGATTTACTTTTGCTAAAATCTTTTCAGAAGATTTTACTGACTTGAGGCTGGGTTAATCATACTAGGTAACCCAGATCACATTAATATAATCAGTGAGTGAGATGATCATGATCTGAAGCTCTATTTCCTTCCCTCCTTATATGGCCTAGTCTATTTCTAGTTTATCTTTATACTGAGGACAGAGTCCTTTGGATTCCCTCCAGATTCCTGGTGTTTACTGGGGCTATTCCTTGGTAGGCCCTAAATCTATTTTTGTGTCCCACCCATAGATCTCGCAGCTTCCAAGTCAATGTTCTAAGAATCTACAAATGACTAGGGGGATATTTAGTCTGAAGTCTGGTCTTAACTGATTTCTTCCAGATCTTAACCTTTCAATTCTGTCTTAAAAGTTCTCCAGTGATTTTAAACAGATTAATTTTGTTGATTTTTCCCCCATTCTTAGAATAGGTTGGTTTGAAGTAACTTACTCAACCATTGTCAAAAGCTAAATGCTCAGATCATACAGTGCTGCATATACCTTATAGGCGTTAGTATTGGAATGTAGGAGTATTTATGTTGCCTACTATATTGCAAATTTTTATAATTGGGATTGAATGCAATGTGATCTATTAGGGAACATGATTTGAATAAGCTGACTTTTATTGGTTTATGTTACAATCTTATGAGAAAACAAAAGCATTCTACATCACAGCTCCTTGTTTGATTGGTTCCCACCAGTGACTTGCCATTCTTCAGTTCTTCTAATGTTTCCTGCTTCCTCTTGTCATGGGACTTTTGCATATGCTCTTCTGTCTGACTAGTATGTACACCTTCATACTCAGGTTTGGGTGTGAGGCATTCTCAAGGAAGCCTTCCCTAACTTGTGAATTTAGGTCAGATAAATGAACTTCCTCATTTTGATTTGTACAGATTCATTTATATGATAGTTTAATTAATGTCTGTTTTCCCCTGCTAAACTGTGAAATCTGTGACTTGAGAAATCATGCTGCCTCCCTCCCCCCTTTTTTTGGACCATTTTGCCATATGTGTCTAGAAGTACATTTTTTTTTTTTTTGCAAGTAGGTGATCAGTTAATAGGCTATCACTTGTTAATAGATGTTCAATTAATGTTTATGTGAATGAAGAAATGAGAGAATATGAGGGAAGATATGTAAGAAATGCCATGCTTATGGTAATGATGGTACTGATAAGAGTTGAAAAACCCAAGCTTTTAAGCAAAAGCCAGGTTTAATCAAACATTGGATTTGCTATACAGTACTATTGAAGTTTTATGGTTTTACATGCACAGCATTAAAAATACTTCAGTGAAATTTCCCTGAGAATTTATTATTGTGAATGTTTTAGCATTTGTCTTCCGTGCCCTTGTAAATATTTTATTATGTAAGTTTTGGAAACATTAGGTTTTTGATAAAACTATCATTCAGAACATGACAGATTATATCACTGACAGTTGTTCAATTACAGAGATAAATGGAATAAAAAAGTTGTGTTCTTGAAGGATTCATAGTCTCAGAGGAAAATGGACTTGGAATTTATCATATACATGCCCACAAAGCAAGGTGCTGTCGTTTACCAGGGGGAAATGAATCTTGACTGATTAGGAGGATTTTATTAAATGGCTAAAGGAACAGTGTTTCATTTAAGTGGATATTATTATGAAATCGTTTAGTGCCTTTGTGGATTGACAGATAGTAGTTTTGGTGGTGGCTAGGACAATTTGCAGGAATAGTTTGTAAAGGCAGATTGGGACTACCCAGATTACTAATTCATCCTTTGACAAGGAGGCCATCAGAAGCTTTCAGGGATTTTCTGTCATGTAAAGAGAATTTCTGGAGCCAGACTCCCTGAGTTCATATTTCAAGCTCTCCCCTTTACTGTGTGTGTGACTTTGGACACATTACTTAGCATCTCTGTGCCTCAGTATCCTTATTTATAAAATGGAGATGATAATTATAACTAAGAATATTACAGTTTGGACTGAATGAGTTAAGACATGGCAGGTACTGAGGGGAGTGCCTGGCACATAGAAAAATTCCAGTTAAGCATTGGCTCTTGTTGTTGCTATTATTATATGCATTGAGAAAAACTCGAAGGTTATAATTGTACTCTTTCAGCCAGAACTAGAGGCACAAAAATATTCAAGAGATATTTTAGGAGTAAAGTTAACAAAGCTTCAACTTAATTACCAATTCTCTATAACCAGAAATTTCAACTAATAATGCTGCCCATGTGCAGCATAGAAGCAGGTTTGAAATTTGTATAACATTTTCATGATTTGCAAACTTATAGAACTTAAATTTTCTAATTTGTGTTTTCTTTTAGATCTTATAGAAAATTTCAGCTGTAGCCCTTGGACTAGAAGCTGAAATAATAGAAGCTGTGTACGATGCATTAGGGTATTGAAGAAAATTAATTTTGAATTAAATATTTGGAGTATAAGGAAGGAAAGGTGACTGAAAATGGGGCGGAAGAAAATACAAATCACACGCATAATGGATGAAAGGAACCGACAGGTAAATGAAAATTTTAACTTATTCATTTAATTGATGTAAATATTTTTTAGAAAAAAGCATAGCATAGAATGGTTGAATTTTTCTTAAACTTAATTTCAAGTCTAAATATTTTTATTTCCAAACTAAATAAAAAACTTTAACATTTTAGCTTGTCATGTGCCATAAAGAAACTTTTTTCTCTTATTATAGAAATCATAGATGTTAATTATAGAAAACAAAGGAAAAAAGAAGAAAAGTTAGATCACTGTAGTCCCACTGTTACCATCCATTGTGTAGATTTATTATAATATTTTTAGCCTTCTGTTTGACTTTTTTATGTATTAATCATTATTATAAATTATCACCTCTATTTTCATAATTAGGTAATACTTAAGTTAACTGCAGTTTTCAGTGAATGTGTTTTGGTCAGTTAAATTTTCTGGTCAACCAAGAAATAGAATTTTTTTATAACTCTAAACAAACATTCCTAAAACATTTATGTATTTATCTCAGTTTTAATTGATAAAACATACTGAACCTGAGTTTCAGCACCAGTGTCAATAAACCCTTACAAGTATTCAGGATAATTATAATAATACTGATACATGAAGTGATAACCTGGAGTTGAAAGAGTTTAGAGCAGGGATTGGCAAACTATAGTCCATGGGCTAGTTGGCTGTTTTGATAAATAAGTCATTAGAACACTGCCATGTGCGTTTGTTTACATATTGTCTGTGGCTGCTTTCACATTACAGCAACATAACTAGGAAGTGGCCCTGGAGACTAGATGGGCCATGGGCCTAAAATCTTGACTCTCTGGCCTTTAAGAAAAAGTTGCCCAGCCCTTGGTTTAAAAAACAAGAAGGAAAATGGTTTCATAGACTATGAACTAGTATTCAGAGCATGTGCAGGAGGGAGAGATGCTGTCTCTGGAAAGATTGCCTGTCAGGAGAAATGTCCAGAAAAGCTGGTTTCCGGTAGCTTACTGGGAACAGAACAGTATTAAAGATACATTCTGCAAAGTCTGAGTAGTAATTCACCTAGTAATACAGATATAGTTGGAGACAAAACTTAGCTGGCAGCTAGTAGAGAAGTTAGTGGAAGTGAGTAGAGTTGCCAGTAGACCAAATTGAAGAGAACTCTTGTTTCATCTCATGAAGATTCTTTATCTAAAGTGTAAGGCTCACATAGTATGACTCTTTATGAAGGGTGATATAGTAGGGAAGACTGATAAAAGAACCATTCCATCATTCCAAAGGGATGATTCTAAGCAAGGTTGCAAGTAATTGTCCTCTCATATATCTGAAGATTGTGACCTATAGATGAAGCACATCTCTCTCTACATCTTACATTGTATGTATGGACACATAATGTGGAACACGTACAATATACATGTAAAGTAGGTTTATTAGGGAATAACATAAAAGCAGAGAACTGGCAAAGCACATAGCATTCCTTAAACTCTTATTATCCCTTACAGAGTCATGTTTAAATTCAGAGTAGGTACACTGGATCTACTATTGGAAAAGACCCCACATGTGGGGAATAGGAAAAGGGGAACTAGGAATATGTAAGTGACCATGTAAGGGAACTTTTAATTAAGGAAATAATCTTAGTTAAAAGGTGGAGCCTGCCACTATAACTCAGCAACTAGAATTAGCCTGTTAATATGTTAAATTTACCTGCTAAGTCATCTTCTTGCCAAGCTGCCAAATGGGGCAAGGGTGTCTGAATGTCCTCTCAGATGATTTTGGCAAAGAATGCAGAAAAGAAACAGAATAGGTAGTTGGGCAGTTTATTTTTCAGATTTGTTAGGTATAGATATAATTTAGCATTTTGCATTTGTGGATTCTGAGTTAAAAGTTTCATTATTCTTGCATTAAAATGAGGAGAATGTTTCTGTGCAGAAGCAGATTTATTTCATTTATTCATCCACATTTGAATACCTACTGATTCTGGGAGAGACTGTGTTAAGCACTGGGAGCTCATTAAAAATATATAGCCAACATAGGAGATTTAACTATATGGTAAACAGAAGGTAAGCTCAGGTGATGGGAGAGTTTATGGAAGGAAGCACCAGCCTCTGGTTCGGGTAGTTTAGGGAGCAATACAGAAGGAGATAATAGCATATGCAGTTTTTAATGACTGGATTTTTTGAGCTAGTAAGATAAAAATCACACTTCAAGTCTTTAGAGCAGTGAATGAAAAATCTTGGTGGTGACACTGTCATGCACTTAACGAGCTGCTTCACCTCACTTCACTTCCACTTGGAAGCTTTCATTCACTTCACTTCCAGTTGGGAGTTTCTGGTGAAACCTTGTGTTTGTTCTTGTTGGTATAATACACTTCTATTTAAAATGTCAACTTTGTATTAAAGTATAAAGAAAAGAGCACAAGTCCTAAGTGTGGCTAAGTCAATTATTGGAAAACGTGCATGGCCATGTAGCCAGCATATCCCAGTGCACTACCACCACAGAAACTGTCTCTGTCTCGTCTCCCCAGTCATTATCTCCCTGTGCCACTTACCTAACTTCTGACACATAGATTAATTATGCCTGTTGAATTTATGTGAGCAGCATGTGTTCCTTTGGGCAACATTAGGTTTGTGAAATTAATGTTACTCTTACATGTCGTTATATATGGAGATATATTTGGTACATTTTCATTAAGGAATAATATTCTGTTGTGTGGATAGAACACAATGTGTATTTTTATTTTTTCTGTTGTAAGTGAACTTTTGGTTGTTTTCTTTTTTGAGACTGTTATAAAGAGTGCTGTTTTGAATAGTCTTGTATGTGTCTTTGGCACACATGAACTTTGGGTATATTACCGAGGTGTACAGTTGTTAAGTCAGAGTATACCTGTGATCAGCTCTGATAGCAATACTTTTCTAAAGCTATTGTGCTGATTTAAAATTTACACTGCTGACAATGTGTGAAAGTTTCAGCTGCTCTATATCTTCACCAATACTAGTTTTTATCCCTTTCCTGTTAGCTATTGTGGTAGGTGAACAAAAGTAACATTTTAAGTTTCTGTGATGTTTGATGAAGTTGTTCACTTTTTCAGTATTTTTTATGAAAAGATGCTTACTGTTTACTTCTTTTCCATTTTTTCCCCTAGTGGGCTACCTGACTATGTTTTTCTTATTAATTAGTATATATTCTGTGTATAATATGATGTGAGTGTTTTGTTCATTATGTGCAGTACAAATAACTTCTTTCATACCATCACTTGCCTTTGTATTTTTTCATTTTTTTCAATGTTGTCCAGTTTGCCTTCTTTTTTTTCCTTTATGGCTAATGCTGCTATATTGAAGAAATGTTTACTTATCACAAGGCAATGATGATTTTCTTTTTATGCTTTCTTCTTTTTTTTACGTTTCATGCTTTAGATATGTTACTCATTTGAAATTTATTTTTGTGTGTGGTTTGAGGTGTTGGAGTCAAGATTTGTTTTTCTGATAGATACTCAGTTGACCCAGTACAATTTATTGCAAAAACTATCTTTTCTCCATTGCTTGCTTTTGTCATGAATCAAGTGATTATACATGTGGAGCTGTTTCTTTGGAGAAATATCTATTCAAATCCTTTGCCCAATTTTGTTTTTTATGGAGTTGTATCATCTTCATTCTGAAAGCTGTTTTCATTGGTTATAAAATTCTAGGGGCGCCTGAGTGACTCGGTTAAGCATCCAACTTCGGCTCAAGTCATGATCTCATGGTTCAGTGGTTCAGGCCCCACATCAGGCTCTGTGCTGACTGCTGAGAGCCTGGAGCCTGCTTTGGATTCTGTGTCTCTCTCCCTGCTCCTCCCTTATTCATGCTGTCTATCAAAAATAAATAAAATGTTAAAAAATTTATAGAATTCTATATCGACAGTTAATAGTCTCTTAATACTTTAAAACAATTGTCTTTTAACTTCTGTCACTTCTGTCAATTTCTTTGGAGAGACCTGCTTTCATTATTTCATAATGCATTTGTCTCCCCTCTGGTTACTTTTAAGATTTTTACTTTTTCGTGGGTAGTAAATTTTTTGTTGTGATGTCTTCAGATATTTTTTGTGCTCCATTCTTTTCTTCTCTGGGATTCCAGTTACATGTAACTTGGTCCTTTTGACATTGTCTCATATATTTCTTATGCTTTTTTCCCCCCTAGAATTCTTATTCTTTTTCTCTGTCCCTCCACCTGAATGTCTTGTAGTGAATGGCCTGTTTTGTAGTAATCTGTTTCCTGGGCTCTAGTAATCCTTTACTTGGTTTTTAAAAATTAGCTGTTAAAACACCTAGTAACTTATTTATTCCTGGTATTATGTTTTCAATTATAAAATTTCTTTTTGATTTTTATTTTTATAGATTTCAGTTCTCTGGTGATATGGCTCATCTTTTCATGTATTTTGTCCACTTTCCACTATTTTTTGGAAAATATTAATTATAGAGTTTTTGTCTGCTAATTCCTATATTTGGATTATGTGATCCCCTTTTCTCTTTATTTTTGATTTATCATTTCTTCTAACATGTCTTAATGGTTTTTTTGAGCTGTTAGACATTGTATATGAAAGATATAAATATTCATTATTATGGTACTTTCCTGCAGAAATGGTTTACCCTTCCCTCTTTTTTAAAAAAAAATGTTTTTTAATGTTTTATTTATTTCTGAGAGAGAGAGAGAGAGACAGTGTGAGCAGGGGAGGGTGAGAGAGAGAGGGAGATACAGAATCTGAAACAGGCTCCAGGCTCTGACCTCGCTGTCAGCACAGAGCCTGATGCAGGGCTCGAACCCATGAACCATGAGATCATGACCTGAGCTGAAGTTGGACGCTTAACCAACTGAGCAACCCAGGTGCCCCTACTCTTCCCTCTTACCATTGAAATTAGGTTATTGAGTATCTTAGACCAAAGAGAGATTAACCTGAGTTGAGGCTAGGCTGCAGTTGTTGTTGTTTTTATAGTTTTTTGGTTTTTTTTTTGAGACAGAGACAGAGTATGAGCGTGGGAGGGGCAGAGAGAGAGGGAGACACAGAATC